AGTATGTGATCAGAGATGGCAAAAGTTCAGGGGAGCTGATCAGCTGGTGTTCTCATCCAATTCCTTTCAGACAGGAAAGCCAGTAGATTTCTGCTCACCTACATGGACCTTTACCATTGGGAAAGGAACTCAAAATTAAATTAAAAGCAGAGTAGCAGAGCACTGGATGGACCAAGTATCTTTTCGGGAAGTTTTTTTTAAACATAAATGGGCCATGAGAATCCGTGGGCCATTCTTCTAGTATTTTAATTGTGATTACTTTATTTATGAACATGTGGTAAAAATCAGGATATTGTATTCCCAATTTACCATACCAGTAAATAATAATACTTACATTTGATACAGAGTCTTTCACTAAGTCTCAAAGAGCTTCACATGATATACTGTAAGGTGGCGTAACTGTGTATTTTGTAGCCGTACTGAATGTCACGTCTAAAAAGCATGGGAATTAATCCAATCCTGATTGATGGGCTGAGTTTTAAGACATCTCTTACCGAGTTTTTAGTCCAGCCCAAAGTGATAAAACCTGGATTTTAATCCAGCACTAGTTGATAGGACCTAGATATTAATCCAGACCAGACTAATGGAAGAATCATTACATACATACAGGGTGACCAAAAAGTCAGGATACCATTACAATTATTTAATAAATCTTAAAGAAATTATGATTTTTTTAAGATAATAGGGTAGATATCACAATTTTTTGGACATCCTGTCTGTATATGAAAGAGCTTGGGCAGTCTCAACTCAGTTTGGAATGAGTGTATGCCAACAAAAGTTTCCTACAAACTGGAAATCTCACTCAAAGAAACCTTGAGGTTGGCTAGTAAGAAAAAGCATAAATTCAGACTGGTGCAATAGAAGTTCTTTCCTGACCTTTGGATTCAGCACTGTTAGGGAAGTTTATTATGTAAACTGGCATGAGAATGCTAAATGCTGATACTAGATGCCAAATGTAAACAACTTTCCATTATTCAGGACTCACATTCCTTCCTATAATATGCACAAAATGTAATTTTAAAAAAGAACTTTATGTAAATCAATATTGATTTTAGCAAAAAATTGTAAAAATGGAGACAGAAACCAGGGATGGTGAACAACCACTCAGTGTCATAAACCAAGAAACTACTTCATATTAACAATCCCTACTGCCAAAAAGTTAAATTCTTCTACATCATTGTTTTCACATACAGGTTTTATTTAAGCTCCTAAATGAAAAAAATATTGAGGAACCTCAACACTTTTATGTGGGAAAAACATCATCTACAGTTTCTCAAATGTTTGTGAACAATTTCTTTGTTCAACCTTATACCAATCAAATACTCTTCAATAAGTATAAACAAATTATTACAGTACACTGCCAGTATCTTGAGCCCCGCTGATTCTAAAAGCAATAGAGTTACTTTTGATACAGTGCCAGCTAAAAATGTTTTCCCTCCTAAATTTTGCAAAGGAGGACAGTTCAGGGCATGGCTGTCAAAGGAAGGCGGGGGAAGGGAAAGGGGAGTGAAAAGCAGGATAAACCTTTGGACCCAGGAAGGAAGGGGGCCCCAACCACCCCACAAGATAAAAAAAACATTGCCGGCAATGTGTATGCACTTAAGTGACCGCTTTCATTCTCTCAACAATGTTGATTTGGGAGCAGCAGACATTTATAGACCTTCTTCCATACAAAATTATGAAAACTGTAACCCATTTACAATAAATAGTAAAACAGAAGAATGCCTTATTTCTCAAGCTTCTTTCAAAGCATACAATCTAGTAAAACTGTGCAAAATTAATTTACACATGCACCATAAGTTCACTGCTGAATCTGGTTTTATGGTATGTCTGTGGTTAAAAACAGACTTGAAAAACATGAGTAGGATAAACACACTGAACTGGCCTATTTCTGACAGCAATAACAAAAACACACCAGGACAAGCTTCTCAACTGCTCCTCGGAACGTTTGTTAACCTTAGACCAGAGCCGACACACAACATTTCCCTGGCAGAACAGTTAAGCACTTGTAAAAATGTTGTGTGACCTTGATGAAGAATGCACACAAATGCCTCAAAAATCCAATGAAAGATCTACCCTGTCAGATCAAGCCCTGCCACAGGCCAAGATCATCTCTTCACAATCAGCAAAGCCACACTAATCTACCATGAGCACAAAAACTGAACACAAGTGTGCGGGTATCACAAAGACATCATTCTGGTATCATAATGTCCCAAATATGGTCATTTCAATATGCTCAGCATGGTTAGGAGTCTCTATCCCCAAATACTAGTTCCTAATAGAAACATTGACATTTTCAACACAAAGTGCGGCATTTGTACAATCATGATCTCAGTAGGTACCCCTGAGGGGGATGCACTTCCCCACAAGGGGAACTAATCAAACATTAAAACATTAAAAAAAATGAATCAACACTTCTAGAAGCTAGCTTTAACAATTCACCCAGCAACTGAATATGTACCCACTGGTTTGCCCTTGAAGTGGAGTGGGGCCCTAGAAGAATTGAAGAAATATTTTTTTTCGCATATAAAGACCAGAAGAAATGAAGTGTTTAAGTTACATTTATATATCGCCTTTCATGTCAGGAGAATGTCTCAAAGTGCTTCACACAGCTGCCTGGGAGCCTGATCTAGGGCTTCTGAGCTTTGATGTACATGTAACAAATATTTAATTATTATTATTAACAATTTTTAACTTTTTTTTTCTCCCTTCCCAAAAAGTAATTCCTACAGTTTCCATGTTAGCCAAAAAGACATGACATAAATTCAGTTTTGTAATTCATGGAAAGAAAGTAATCAATTCCTGAACAATCTCGAGAACTACCAACTGAGCCAGGCACCTTGACATCTAAGTTTCCCAATCACAGTTCTTAAAACAGTGGCTTCCAAATTAAGACTAAATCGAAGAATTTTCCAGAATAATGCTTGATATTAAATTTTAAGACAAATGCTTTTACCAGCTAAGATTAGGTGGAAGTTTGATCTTGAGCTTTTTATTCAAACATATTTTCCACATACCATAAACAATAAACATAAAAGTAAACCTTAAAAGTGAATTTGTCTCATCAAACAACCTTAAAGAGGTTTAAATGCAACATAATTCAAACTAATCTAATGTAGGACTGGAACAAAGCATTGTAACTTCAATCACTTCACTTGGTTTTAATGTTGCTGAAGCTGAATCCATAAATTATTTTAAAAGAAATTAAATAGGTTCAAAAAGAGTAATATTAAAGAATATGGGAAACAAGCAGGAAAATGGAACTAGGTTATGTGGGTCATGTGGCTGAAAACATCAGTCAGACTTGATGGGCCAAACAGTTCCACTTACATGTTGGTGTTTGAGTTATTCAATGTTCACTGCACAATTGGACATAGCAAGTGAATTTTAAGAGTAAAAATCACAATCAGGTGGTAGCGATAGTTAATAACTATTAAACTATCGTAACTGAAAATCTCAACTTCACTACATCCATAATCACCTAGTTGCCTTCTGTAATTTGTAAAGAGAACAAGCTCCCAATCTGAAGATAAAATCCAGCAATTTCCATTCCCTTTGCATTACGACTGCAGAAGCATAGAATTGTCAGAGAACAAAGAGTGGTACTGCAGAGTAGGCAACTAATACTGGATTTCATATGCAGGCTCACAGTACTCTGAAAAATGCTGAGCCCCTGACAGATCAGTCCCGGTTTAAACAATATAAGGCAATTTCCTCTAATCCTCAAAAAACTGTTAACCAAGTGTTAAAGCCATGTGCTTACATTAAATGACATAAAGGGAAAAAAAGGCCTTTTTTAAAAAAAGAATTGAAGCAGCAGCAAATGTCATTAGTCAACATCTAAACCCACAAACTGCTATTCCACACAAATACATTGTCAGAATATTAATTTGAACAAGTTAACTGGAGACATTACAATTCACAATAAATCTTTCAAAGTACTTTGAGACATTTTGCTGATAATATATAATAATCCTTGCATGTGATATAGCACCTTATCAAGCGCTTCACAGAATATACTGTACAGTGAATTTACAGTAGATTCACTATATTCACCGAAACACGGCAGCCAATTGAGCACAGCAGTGTCCCACAAACAGTCGTGGATGGAGTGTCCAAATTATTATTTTTATTTTATGTTTTTAAGATGTTTGTGTATTGAATTGAATCTCTACCTAAAACTATGAAGCCTGTGATCTCCCAGACTCATTCCATGGGCCATATTTTTATCATATGGGCAGTGTAACACAGTACTGTACTATAAACCATGTCTACATAAAAGTTTGAGCTCAACAGTTACACTTCCACATGTGAATTAAATAGATTTACATGTTGATATTATTTGTTTCTCAAAGGAGTTAGTTTCATAACTTTAATTTGTTTTTAGTGCACGCAGACCTCCAAATGGCATGATGTGTATGTGCAAATATTTTTTTCTGAGAAACCATTGAGTTTTATTACAAGCTGCCAGAATGATGGGTAGGCAGCATGGAGCAGGCACGACCAAGAAATGCTTAGCATTTTAACATTGTTTACCCAAATCAGCATCAAAGTGAAACTTACCTGTTAGTAGATCGAGTTGAAAACAGCACTAGGTCAGCATTCAAAATGTGTGCAATTTGTATTATCAAATAGAGATCAGATTATAGGTCAGCCTGCTTTAGAAGTGCCAAGAAAATGGGTACATGTAAATCAAATGCATGGTCAGAATATCATGATGAGGTTCAAGCTGGGAAAAGTCATACAGTGTTTGCTTGCTGCTTGATTAACAAAAGGAACATTGTCCTTTCACTGAAAGACAGAACTAGTAATAGACTGGTTCAGAACCAGACAAAACCTGGGACACGTTCTTCATGCCCAAATTGCAACATTTCAGAAAATTGTTCTGTTTGCAGTAGTGGAGGGTTGCCAAGCTGGCTTCTTTCCCTTGTGTTGTCATAGAAACTGAATATAGCAGCTCAGAAGAGTTAGATGATTTTAAATGTCCATGTGTTTCTCACCTGCATTGTGACGTGCAATGTATCCCAATGCCCATGCTGCAGCTTCCTTCACCCCAGGATCAAACTCCTCCAGACAGACCACCAGTGCATCCAGGGCTCCACAATCCACCACTGCCTGGGCTAGTTGAGGCGAGTGTTTGGCAACAGCCCTCAATACAAAAGCTGCAGCTTTCTTGTAGAAACGCTTTATAAAAATGGATGTATTTAATAACGCATACATCCAATTACAAGCTAAGAAGCTTAATTTCAGAAAAAAAGTATGTTTCCCTATTTAAAAAAACACACCACAACATTACTGTGAAATACGATTTGTATATTTTGTTCAAGGACAATTTCAATTTTTCAAACTTTTGTAAAAACAGTAAAAACAATTAAAGTGGTATAATTCAACTTACAAAATGACATAATTACCTCAAACTACTTTAAATGGTGTCCTTGTCTCATTATACGGCAAGGTGAAGCAATCAGAGCTTTCACATTGCTCCAGAAACAACAGCAATGTTTGGTGATGCTCGTACGAGTGGTATACAAAAGTCAAACCAATCACATATAATACTTTGCAATTAAAAAGGTTAAACGATTCGGTTTCCATATACGGATAACCAGTTCATATTGTTATTCAGTATATTGGGGCATTTGTTCATTTTCAAAGAAAATGCAATAGAATTTTAATTTTAAAAATTGCAGCTGCTTCCAACAAGTGAAAAATTATTACTACGTTTGAAATGGGTGAAGATGGGAATTTAATAAGCTTCTTTTCTAAACAGGTTAGAAATAGTGTGTCATCACTGCAATCATCAACGTTAAAGTCAGGAAGGTAGTTTTGCCCAAGGGACAACCAGATTGCTTGCATGTGCAGCTAAACTCTACATGAACTGGCTAATTAGCTTCCTTCACTTGCCCTCAGTCACTAAAGTATGATAGGTCTTTTGTGACCCCGCACTAATCTGCTGGTGCCCTCAGTGATCCCAGCTAACCACTGTCTCACAGCTGCCTGACAAACTAAAAGCCAATGTGCAAAGATTTGGTGCAGGTAATTTATGCTGTTTTAAAGGGGATTCCTTCCTTCAATGGGGGGGGGAACAAAAAAACAAGACCAACTAACATTTGGAAAACAAATCATCAGTAGTAATGCATGGATACATTCATTTTATGCATGCTTTCACTTTTTGGGAGTGAAAAACTGCAAAGTACTCTTTTTTAATCTCAGTGCGAAGGAAATATGAGGTCTTACATTTTGTTCTGCCAATGAATACACTAGCTGCGGAAGAATGTCTCCCTTAACAACAGCCTCAGCCAGATCATCGTTGTAATTGGCCAACCGTCCCAGTGCCAGGGCTGCTGTCTGCTGAATGGTTGGAACCACATCTAATAAAAGAGGCCTCAAAAGAGACATCACACCTAGGAGAGAGGGACAGAGAAGTGTTACTGTATAAGACAGTACAGTAGTTCATAATAATTTGTGGATTAATTATCTTAAGTGGGAGAAATTCTATATAAACAATATAATGGCTGAAATTCCTCTTTCTGCTAAGCATGGAGACTTTGACAATGTGGATTCAGATTTTCCCAATGGAGGGAGAGGAATAAGCCAGGGTTCCTGTACCTGATCATTAGCCACGGACCACCCCCACCCATTCTGGAAATTGCCTGCACTTTGCTGTCAGTTAAGAACTAAATTGAGCTTGGCTGAAATGACCCTTTTAGGTTTAAAAGTGAGGATTGTCAGTGAGTATGAGTGAGCGACTGGTGGATATGTACAGCAGCCTAGCGTATATTCAGCACTAATAGGAATAAAGCAAAATATATCTGACCTGTTGAAAAAAGTTTCAATCCCGAGCACTGATTTATCATCTTGATAAAGACAACAAACATCATAAACCTTTGCCATTTTTCATAGAAACCTACAGCACAGAAGGCCATTTGGCCCATCGTGCCTGTGTCGGTTCTTTAAAAGAGCTATCCAATTAGTCCCGCTCCCCCGCTCTTTCCCCATAGCTTTGCAACTTTTTTCTTTTCAAGTATCTATCCAATTCCCTTTTGAAAGTTATTATTGAATCTGCTTCCACCATCCTGTGAGGCAATGAATTTCAGATTGTAACAACTCGCTGCATAAAGAAAATTCTCCTTATCTCCCCTTTGATTCTTTTGCCAAAAATTGTAATTCCTAAGGACTATCCAATAGCTTGTGTGTGTGTGTGTGTGTGCGTTTTTAAAAGTAGCTCTAGAGGTACTAGAAGCCTGAAAATTCCACCTAGCCAAAGAGATGTGGGAACAAAATTCTTCAGGATTTTTATTACCACGTTACCATTTTACTCCCCTCCTTATTCTTCCATCTCACCTCTTGAAATCTCCTTGCTGGGGCATGATTCCATGGTACCTACTGCTTTAAGAACAAATGACCCAAGTGTCTATTTTTCATGTGTCAGTGTCGGCAAACTATTTGACTACAGTGGTCATCATAGCTAAACCCAAGCCTCACTCAGCATCAACCTCCCCAAATATTCCAACAAGAATCAATGGGTAGCAAAATGTGGGAAAATTGGCTGAATTTGTTCCCCCTCCTTCGTCCAGGGATCACTGGTGAATTATAGTGCTCAAAATGCTCCCCTAGCTAAAGTTAACTATCTCAGCACAAATCACGATTTGAATTTATAAGCTTCTTTTCTTTACAACATAATGCTTATCCAATATGCCGTCAGGAAACAAACAACTTGCACCTTGCATTATGCAAGATACCAACTAAAGCAGCAGAGCAGGACACACTCATCTTTAAACTTGTATTCTGTGAAGCACTTTGGGACATCTTGGAGACGTGATGGGGCGCTGTATCAAAATGCAAGGATTATTATTATAAATTTTATGTTTATACACCGGGCGCTATCCAATATTAAAACAAACTGCTTACAATAAAATGCAAGGATAAATATGTTCAATGTAGCACAAGAGTGTAAAATTAAAAATGTGGTAATTTGAATGTTATGACATGCTGCCAAAACTCTCATCCCAGCATTTGTCACCTTCAGATTTGACTTCTCCATCACCTTCCAACTCAGCCCTCAGGAAACTACAAATCATCCCAAACTCTGCAGCCTTTATCCTTTCTCATAACAAACTTTGTAAGCCCATCACCCAATCCTTACCAGGCTCCACGGGTTCCCACTCCCCCACAGAAATTGATTAAGATCCTAACTTTGAAATGCCTCCACATCATTGCCCCACCCCTACCTCTGTGGTCTCATATGGTTCTACTCCCCCACCCACTCCCTATGCTACGCAACTGGTTTTCATAAGAGGCACTATTAGGCACTATTTATTTGATTGTGAAACAACACGCTACGCACATAGAAAAGGGATGCCTCTTTGCAGAAAACAACACTAACAACAATTTACATTTTTATACATATTTGACCTGAGAGAATGTCTCAAATTGCTTTACAATGACTGAATGGTGACCCAAGCTGGGAAAGAGATGAAGGAGAGGGGGAAGTGGCCAAAGGCTCGACAAACAGATGTCTTTGCACGGGTTTTGAAAACATGAGAGGGCGGGATGCAGTGGAGGGATTTCAGAAGACAGTTCCAGAAGGCTGACCAGACTGTGGCCATGAAGCAAACCAGAGGTAGCAGAGTGCAGGAAGAATATGGGTTCAAGACGCACGTTAGGACTTTGAACAACAAGAAAAAATTGCATTTATATAGCACCCTTCACTTCAGGAGGATGTCCTAAGCCGCTGGATTGTTGAAGGTAAAGGCAGGAGGGGTGTAGGATATCATAGAGATAAGGGGGGCAAGACCATGGAAGCATTTGAAGGTAAGGATGACGATCATAAAGTTGATATGCTTGAAAAGAAAGTCTAAAGGTAACAAATAGGGGAAACAAAAAGTAATAATATCAAAATGACAAAGTAGATTTGACCACCAACCTCTAGGGAGATAGAAAAAGATCAGGTGTCAGCGTGGCTTAGTTGGTAGCACTCTCGCCTGAGTCAGACGATTATGAGTTCAAGCTGCATATTGGGGCTTCAAACAACAACAACAAATTAAGGCGCTGGACAGTTGAAGTTTGTATCCAAGCTGGGGGTTGGATTTGGGAGGGGTGGGAGTGGAGGTGGGAAGATGCCAGAAGGTGCAATCAAAGGAAGGTCTTGAGATGGTCCTTGAAGGAGGCATAGGAAGAGGTGAGGCGATGGAGAACGCCACACAAGACTGCAGGGCAGGAACTCCTGAACTCCTACAATCAGGGCTGACACTCCAATGGGGTGTTGGGGTGTTCAACATTGTTCGAAGTGTCATCATTCAGATAAGACATTACAATGAAGTCCCATCTACCTGTTCAGGTGGACTTCAAAGATCCCATGGTACTATCCTGGCCAACACTGCTGAGTGCAAATTGTCTGTCATGTTTCATCTACAAAGTAGTCACTATACTTCATAGTTTATCTTGTGAAGCACTTTGAAATGTCCTCCTGACACAAGAGGCTCTATATGAAGTACAAGGATTATTATAATTGGTTTGGAGACCAATTGGTCACTCAATCCACGACTGTTTGTGGGACACTGCTGTGCGTAATTGGCTGCCACGTTTCGTCCACATAATATACAGTCAACTCACTTTACAGTATATTCTGTGAAGCGCTTTCAGACGTCTCGAAGACGTGATAAGGCACGACATCAAATGCAAGGATTATTATTATTATTTTATTATGATACTGCTCTTAAGCATAGTGACAGGTTTTCACATTTGTAAACTGAGCTGACCAAAAATTCATCAGTACAAAGATTATTAATAACCTGATTCAGAGGAAGAATAAGGAAGGGCCAGTAACAGACTTAACAAACTCCATGCAAAAGGCAGTGGGTGAATGTCTAGAAAGTTTACAGAACTGATTCATTTTGCTCATACTTCCGTTTTCACCAATTTGTGCAAAAGTGGCACTTCTACCACTGCAATTCACAAACATTCAATGGCATAAAACAAATTTAAAAAGGAGGGAAAACTACCTGACACATAAAACTTGCAGTCTTGTCGCCAGACATCTAACATTAAAGTTTTATATAAAAAATAACAAAGATTCACTAAAATGTTACCAGGGATGAGTAGTTACAACTATCAAGTAACACGGGACAGGTTAGAGCTTTTTTCCCCTGGAGATGAGACGACTGAGAAGGGACCTGAAAGAGGTATTGAAATTATGAAAGGATATAATAAGATAGACATTAGTAGGCTGTTTCCACTTATTGATGAGTCCAAAACAAGAAAGTATAAATATAAGATCGTCATTAGCAGACCCAAAAGGAAGCTCAAAAGAAACTTTTCTATTCAAAAATTAATGAGAATGCGGAACTCACTGCCAGAAACTTTGATTGAAGCACAAAGCATTACCGTGTTTAGAAGGAAACTTGATGTATGCATGATGGAGAAGGGAATAAAAAGAATAGAGAAGGGAGCAGGGAATAAATGTTTCACCAAGGTGTCTGTTCAGGTAAACGTTAAAGATCCCACAGCAAAATTCAAAAATGGGTGAATGTCATTGTTGGAAATACCTTGTTTGGATGAGGAGTTAAACCGAGGTCCTGTCTACTTGTTCAAGAGGATGTTAAAGAGCCCATGAGACTATTTAAAAAGAGACATTTCTCCCAGTGTTCTAGCCAACAGATATTTATTGTTTAATAACAGTTGTCATATTTTTAAATTTTGATAAGAGCACTATGAACGAGACATGAGGACGTTTTTCCATATATACTGTTTAAATCTAATGAATAATCTTGAATAAATATCAAAGTGAGAAATGTAAATTATTGAAGACCTGTAAGCAATCAAAAAAGAAAATATTGTGATGTTATTTATTATATGATTCAAAAGCAGTAGTGAAACCACGTGCTTACCTCGCGGTGAATTTAAAAATTGACAAATGATTTAACTTAAATCTGTGTTAATGCAGATCTCAAAAATGTGAATTCTCCATCATAAAGATTCTTATGTTGTTATGTTCTTCTTAAAAATGTACAGATAACTGGTGGGCAAAGTTCAATGTCAAGCAAGATGGCATTCAAAATATTTCTTATTCAGTTACATAAAATAAAACAATGTCCATTGAGTAAAGTGATAACTTTACCAATTATTTTTCTATTTTGATAATTTACAGAGCATTCTAAATATTTGCTGATTATAGCAGGCATATTAATATTTGTAGACCAAGAAAATACACCACTTGAAAAACAATTAAGTAAGGAATATGAAAGATTGTTTAGAGGGTCAGTCATCATCAGTACAACGTAAAAAGCCATAGCTATAGAGAATTATGATTAATACTTACTTTGTTTGTAATATCTATTACGTACATTTTTGTTTAAACCATGGGTGCAGCAACATCATTAGGAAACCAGCAGGGAATCACTAT